CCTCGGGTAGTGTCTACTCAGAAGTGAGCGCGCGTGTGAGTGCAGCTTAGTCAGTGGCGGCCTATGACTGGCGTTCTCGACTCCTAGGCGCGCTTCAACTTCTCTGGTCGTAGGCCAACATTCAGCGCCGTATATCGCGACTGGTCGAACGACGGTCCTATAGATCTTCGATTTGAGGCGATCTGGTATCGTCTTGTCGCAGAGAACGCCAGTCATAGACCGCCACTTAGACGCTCGCAGTGTGACCGCCATTTTATGTTACACGGTGGGCGAAATCGCGGTGTCAGTACAATGGGCCTTATAATTGCTCACTAAAGGCTCTCTTACTCTAAGGCGGAACACACCACCTTGATGAAACCCCTTCATTGTAGCTATTTCACCTTTATGCTAAAATCTATTTGTGTGATTAGTGGGCCCAAGCTCCAGAAGGAAGACAGATTTTGCGCCTAAGAAATTACAGCGAAACATATCGAAATCAGATGCGATTACCTGTGTTACCATTATTAGTGACATTAACAGGACGAGCATTATCGTAATTTACAAAATGCATTCGAGGCAGAAATGCGTAGTCAACGTCGGACGCACGAATGTCAATCGGACTCTGGAACGAAAGAGATGACGTCTCTGTTCCCTTCATACCTTTAATAGCTCAGACCTGCTGGTGCGTCTGTCACCTACACCTTCACGTAGACCTAATTACTTTTTCAGAGTTCTTCTAGCTTTTACAAACAATACAAAAATACTAGCAAAATGAGACGAAAGCGGAAGTTCCAAAAACGTCGTCAAGGATAGGCTAGTGGTTTTTTTTCTGCTCCATAGTAATATCTGTATCAGGGAGCGGTTCCATAAGGATTGAGGTAAACCACCACAATTAAGTCAGTGTGGAGGGAATCGGGGATTGATATGTGGCCGATAAAGTTGAAGAGGGTCATATTCTAAGAGGTCACGTTCAAAAAAATGTGCCCAAATGGAAGGACGTATTTTACGGAGGGGCGTTTAACCGACGGGACTCCCATTGCAAGCAGAACGGTGGACTGAGGGAAGAAGGAAAAGGAGAAGGGCAACTCTTACTTCTCCTCCTCATGTCGGTTGTTTGTTGTGCGAAGATCATCTGTCTCGTGTTCGTATAAAATCTGAACGAAATAAAAAGGAGTATGGGCTAGAGTAGACAGAAATAAAGGGCCGCATTAACGCAAACGATAGCGGTGGAGGCAGTCTCAAAATCAGGCGGTCTGATATTATCCAAAAAACTGTGGAGATGACCAGGAAGAAACCCTTTATTTAGTCGGGATTCCGACCAACCACCGTTTTATAAAATGTGAGAGCTACAGTCATGTGAGAAAAAGCACATAACCAGGTTACTTGTAGAACAAGAATTTCAACTCACCCTATGGAATCCTCCTAGACAGGTTTTGCGCCATTTCTTATCGCTTTCGCCCTCCTGATAGCCCCAATCACCGCCTCCTGGGACCTCCTGGATTCCTGTAGCAGCACTGTATACAAAAAAATAGTCGACGATAAACTTCGAATTCTCAATGTTTCTTTTATCATTCAATTAGTATGTATGTAAGTCGGATTTGTAGGTAATATTTTATTTTTGCACGAGCATAAAAATCACCTGCATCAACAAAGACTGGCAGGAAGGCGAAAATGACCATTTCTTGGAGAAGCCCCATTTGGGAAGAAGTGAAACAGCACAGCCAATCTAAATAAGTTTCATCTGTTGTGAAGCAATTAGAGGCACAGAATACGCTCAGAGAATAGGAGGAGTAGGATTCGGAAGTCAAACCTTACGCGACAGATATCTCACCAGCCAGAAAAAAAG